AGCATTTAAGAACTAGAGGAAAGTTGTGTTTCATTGATGCTGCACTGCACCCTGAGTGACCCGTCTCCTCCCTGCGACCCTTCTATTTGCAGATAGATGTCTTTGTCTCTTCTTTTTCTGTGATCCGAATGAGACACAAGTAGTTTCTCTTTATGATGCCCCACACCATTCTCAGGCTTTCTTCTGACTCTTTTGCCTTTTGTTTTTGTTTTTCTAGTTGGTTGTAGTTAGAGTGATCACCTTTCAACTCACTGATTCAATTTTTCGTCTATCCTATACCTCAGGCTTTTTACTATGTTACCTAATTGTTATATTATTATTTATCTTTTCCAATATATTTTGGTTTAAGGATTTTAGGGTGTTTTTAAAATTTTCTTCTGTTGCTGTGATCATTCTTGTAAATTCTGTTTCGGGTAGTCCCAAAGCCTCGTCTGCAGAGTACTCCAATTGTCTTATGTGATTTGGGGTTGTTTGGGTTTGTTTTTCTTGATTTGGGGGTGGTTGGCTGTGGTTGACCACTGTTTCCTTGACGTTGTAGCACAGCTGTGAGTGGTCTGTGAGCTGCCGGGCCATGTAGAGGTAACGGACTCTGTCTACTGATGTGGAGCTGGAAAATATACAGTGGTGAAATGGAGAATAGGGGAGAGAGTTGAGTCAATAAGTAAATTGGGTGGGGGAGAGAAAAGAGAGAATAAAATAAAAGTAATGGTAGTAATACTAAGATACTGTCTGAAATGGCCAACAGATTTGTACAAATAATGGGACAATTTATTTTAAGGGAGTGATCAGAATCAATATTTCGTGGAAATGTGTTTCACAAGGAATAAGAGAGATCAGAAAGAGTTAATAGGTGGATGTGCAGAGGAAAGGAGAGAGAAAAGAATAAAAAGACCCAGGTATGGCTTGGTTGTGGGTGCTGAAATTCTGTAGTAGTGTGAATGTAGGCATGCCTGTATCCTCAGAGGGAGGGGGGCTGGGGGGAGCCTTGTTTGGATGGCTGTGCCCATAACTTTAAGTCTACCTGTTTTTACCTGGAAGAAATGCAAATACTCAGGAGGGCGAGGTTACACTAGAAGAG